CCTAATTCTGGTGCTCAATTCTATTCATCCAATCCTCTATTACCTAATGCCTTTACAAAAAAATAAAACATCAACATCCAATCTGGTTTTCTACCTTATAGCATCTTTGCTTGGAGCACCAAAATTCACCCTAGCTGCAACTTTCAAGAAAAACTCATCCTCATAGTCCGTGGCATACATCGAAAGATTCAAAGGCCTCAGCTCCAAAGTCGATATAAACGGAAACCCAGTTGTTGCGCAACATATACACACATCGACAGAATCCGACGAAGCCCTAATGATCATCTCATTCACATATGTTCTTGAAGCATCAAAAATAGTCACGATTGCCCACTGCGTGGCATCCAAGTAAAGCTCGAATTTCGGATATGTGTCTTCACTTTTGAGACTGCCGTACTGAAATGTTGCCCGGACTAAATACCTCCTCCTCTCCACAGTGTTCAATGTATAGCAGTACTTCTTGCTGTCTATGGGAAAATCCCTGCGTCTCTGAAACTGCAACAAGTTTCCATTAGAGTTTTCGACCTGGACTGATTTTCCCTGGGACATGAGTCCCACGTCTGAAATCCATGCCAGTCCAGTGCTTGTGTCAGTGTAGTTACTTGTCCCTCCACAATCTATGCTCACAAAATCTGCATATACTCAATTCAAACATATCGTCAGTCCGAAAACCAACAATTCCTAGCAAAACGCATGCGTCTGTAATCATGAAAATCTCTTAAAAATCGGTAATTTAATACAGAAAAAATCACATACCTTGAACCTGGGAAATAACAGATGATATAAAGCAAAGATAAATTATGAACGGGAAGAAGGAGAAACCCATTTGATCATTTCATGAGATAAAACAAACCATTTTTCTATGTTTTTTCCAGCGTTGAGAATTTGTGTTCATTCATTTGATGAAATCGAAACTGATTGTAATTAGGTTAACATGTTTGTCTAAGCAAGGGGTCCACGCACCTTTCACTTTTTTGATTTACGAGTCTGCAATGTTCATCCACGTTCGTTTCTTTTTTTCAGATTTTTGGAATCTTAGAAAATTAATTTCTGGTTTCATTTTTTGGTTTAGCTTTATTTTCACTTTGAAAAAGAGTATAAAGTCATTATTTTGCGTTTTAAAAATGATTTGGCGGATGAGCTGTGTTGTATATAGATTTTTCAAACAATGTCTTGAAATACATGCGTGGCTTCAAGTCGTCCCTCTAAAAAACTTAAGTTGGTACACAAATTACTACTGATTTTTCTTGTAACTAACGATTGTAAACCAAATTATGATGTTGCATGTTTATGCAGATATGACATTGTGGCCAAGATTGACAGATGACACTTTGATATGTTGCTATCAAAATTTTTATTGCTTTTGTTCTATTTACGTACAAGTTTGGTTGACATGCAAGTGTTTCTGGTTCTGCAGAATTCACTGTGTAAGTTGTAAGTGCCACCACCCTACCACTTACCACTTGCAATCCATTGTTGTTTGGGGTCTTTTGATATGGTCCAAATAATTAAAAGTTGGACCTATTTCAAAAGTTAAAAATCATTAAAAATTTGACTATTTCAAAAGTAGGCCTATAAAATTGAATATATTTCAAAATTTCCCTTGTTTTTTTTTCTATCGCCACCGACAAAAGCATCAATAATCAATCTTTTGTAATACCTACGAGAAATGTGCGGTTGAGATTTTGCTCTTTGCATCAACGGTTAGGATAAAAAGTTTCGGGATAAATTGCACGAGACCTGCTAACTGGTTGGTACCCAAGACAAACCCCAGGAGAGATAAATTCACCTAAGAAATTCTAAACTACCTATTAATCAACAAATAAATAAATAAAATAAAATAAAAGTTATGGGCAATAGAGTAAGTTAAACACAAAATAGTTTTCTTTTCTTTTTTCACACCCTCGCAGCTAGGTAACCATATTAGTTGTCTTCATTTTCTCTTTCACGTTTTTTTCTCAAATAAAATAAATTTTTAGTGATGAAATAATTATCTAGAAACAGTCAATCGTTAAAAATATGAACATCCTAATCTTTTGAAGTCGTTAGCAAAAAAATTTTGCAACCATTTTTTGTATTCTTTCTTTGTAAATTTTATTTTTACAATTTTATTAAGCACATACATAACATGTGTACAATTGTTAGTACATGATAATGGTAGGAGTGGACAAAAAAACCGATTGAACCATTCAAACCTGTTAAACTAAAGGGATGGTTTGATTTGAATTTCACACTAAAAAGTGTAATCTTAAACTACCTGAACGAAACCACAATCATTTGGTTTGGTTTCGTAAGACGCCTTCCTAAACAACCCAATATTCAATTTAAGATAACTGTCATATATGTAAGAAAATTTAGTTGCTTTGTGCTTGCTTAATTATTGAACTAAATCAAATTGTGAAGGTAATGTTGATTCAGTTGTGATGTGAAGCATAAACTGAACTGAATTGAAACCAACTCAATCATGCACATTTACGTACATGTACATATTTAGAACAAATATTACAATTAAGTATGCAATCAAGGTTATCAATGACTTCCGATAATTGTATCGAGTACACATTGAAAACTATAAAGTCAAAGCATCAACACAACATTAATAATATTGAGACATATCCTCATTCTAAAAATATTGCGGTTAATTGTAAGGTACAAAAATACATAAAATTTACTCATAAATATAATCTATGAGATTCATAAAGATGTAATTGACAATTTGCCAAAGCATATATGATAATCATAATAATAAAATAGAAACTTAACCGGAATTAGGATGAAAGCCATGACGAATTAGCATCTTCAGTGAAAGAAAAGGGAGCAACATTATCAAGACTTGATGGCACTTGCCTTAAAATTGGCTTTTGCTGTCGCTTACAACGAATTATCTTTTCTGACATCCCTTTTGGACCAACTTGTCTTCAGCTTTTCTCAAGTTTGAAAAAGGATGAAGATGATGACTTCATGCCTTATTTTTACCTTGGACACGATATATTTTTTGTATGCGGAAAATATAAGTAGTTGGATTTTTTTTTCAAGTTTTTATTTATTTATATTATAACACTTAATATATCGGATCGTGTTTTTTGATCTACTGCAAATCTTTCTTTGGACACATACATTGCAATCCCTGATGGTCTCCCCCATCTCTATCATCACTAATAAGTTAATAACAACTCAAAAGGTAGATCATATATATGTGCATTACTAATATTAAAGTTTAATATTTTTTTTAATTGTAAATGTATCAAATTCGATTTACTTGGATGACTAAAATGCCTATAATGTCATTATATAAAAAATAAACAATTCGTACTTAGCACTACGGTCTACTGATATTCTTCTTCACTTGTAAGTGACAAGTCTTAGGTTCGATTATCGCCAAATGTGAATTTGAATTACATTATTGCTAGCACATTGTGAGGCTAAACCTATCCCCTTCCCCTTAGTGTAGATAATATTGTTTGTTCAAAAAATAAAAAATAAAAACAATCCAAGGGCAACTTTGAAGTAAATGGAAATGCTTCTCGAAGAACATGCGTTTCTCTAAAAGAACTTTTTTATTTTTGTGCCAAAGTATTTTAAGAGTTCAATTATCATAAAACAATATTAGCACTTCTAAAAAAAATCTAACACTTAGTACTACGGTCTAGCGGTATTTCTCATCAATGGTAAGTGAGAGGTCTTAGGTTCGATTATTGCCAAAAGCAAATTTGAACCACATTGTTGCTAACTCATTGTTAGACTTAGCTCACTACTTGCCCTTAATGTATATAATATCGTTTGTTCAAAGAGAAAAAAAAACCTAAGCAAAAATTAACATAGATGAGAAGCCAAATATTTTCCATGAGAAATTAATCCGTTCTCAGTCGAGTAGATAGACGTAAGATCACCATTTATTGTGTACTTGCTGTTGCAGTCTTGGGAGGCTTATCAAAGCAGAAGATTTCCTCTACATCTCTATTGGACCCGGTTTCCAAGTCTAGGCTACAGCACAGAGTAGCAACAAAATTTAAAGGCCAAGCTCAGGATGGGCTCAAGTCCATTCTAAGGGTCCACTATATTTGACACCTAAGCTTGGTCACTATTCATTACTTCTGGCCCCACACACTAAACACGTATTTATCAATCGGGTCGATTGTGTATTCAAATATACATCAACGACTGAAAGTTACTTATGTTCGCATTGCTAGTTCATGCAAAGCATAATTCAATTTATTGTGGCTGTGTTGTGCACAGCACAATGTGGCTATTTTGATACTAAAAGTAAGAGAGTAATGTTAAGGATGTGTTGATACATCTCGTATCGATTATATTTTAAGAAAAATAATAGTTTAAATATTTTAACCTCACACCTAATAGATTGTGCAGACATAATTACTAAGTTAGAGATAATATCAGTATTGTTGAAAATTGAGCTTTGGCCATGTCATATATGAGTGAAAATATAGTTAATTTTCAAATGCATAATATTAATAAATATAAAATAAATACATGTATTATAATACTAGTGTATTAATACCATGAGTATTGTTAGGAAAACCATATATTTATACCACATTGGTGTACCATCACATGTGCGATGAATATAATCAATATCTAATAAATTAATTAATTGATGTGCCATGTACACATAACTTGCAACATCAAATACATAAATGTGGACGGAAAGTTACCAACATAGATATAATGAGGAGCTTAATACTTTGATTAATAATATACGCTAGTACCAAAAGTGGGTGGTTTTATTCTTTGACAACATTGATTAAGGAGGACTTTAATCCAAAGTATCAATTATCAAAAGTCAGAGTTGGTCTTGGAGTTGGATGGAAAGGGCAAGTAGGAGCCCAAACCTCACTAAGTTGATAAAATAATGAAAGAGAAGTCATCCCTTTCTTCAAGTGTGAAAAGGTTTGATCACTAAGCAAAGCCTCTCTCTCTCTCTCTCTCTCTCTCTCTCTCTCTCTCTCTCTCTCTCTCTCTCTCTCTCTCTCTCTCCTGTTTTTTACAAACCCCACCATCATATGTCTCCAACCTCCAACATAATTCACCAACAAAAACAAAAACAAAAACCAAACCAACTCCCCCAAAAAACAAAAGTCTACTCTTTTCATCTTATCCCCCACCCTCTTTCCTCCTTTTGTGTTTCTTCTATTTCCCTTCTCTCTGTTTTTCCTTCCCAAAACTCAAAAGTGAGAAGAGAAAGAACATATGTGGCAAGCTCAGGCCTGCAAGTCTTCTTATGGAGAATCCATCAAAGCTCTTGAAGCTGATATCCAACATGCCAATACCTTGTGAGTCTCTTTTTTCTCTAAAAATCTTCTTCTTTTTTGTTGGTGTTTATTTCTTTATGATCAAGTTTGGTTCTTGATTGGTGATCAATCAAAACTGTGGATAATCCATGTGCATTTTCCTTTTCTGAGTAGTTTGTTCTGTTGGGTGGTTAATTTAACTGAATTGTGGTTGTTGGGTGGTGTTTGTCATTTGAGAGAGAAGGTCAAGTTTGCTGCTTAATTTTCCTTTTGGCATTTAAGTTTAACACTGTTTCCTTAAGGCTGTTTTTTAGGTGAGAAACTCTCCAGCTTTATATACATTACTGCTTTTATGTTGCCAATTTACACCCAGATGAGGTTCAAATATATTTTGATCTTTTTTTTTCATTGGTTTTTGAGATGGGATTTTTGCAGGGCAGCTGCTCTTCCTGGAGATTATGATGGGAACTGTATCCAAATGAGATTGTCTTATAGCCCCTTTGCACCTTTCTTCCTGTATCTCATTGAATGGATGGATTGTTGTTGCACTGATATACTTCCCAATTATTTAGGCCTTCACCACGTCCTTGTATACAAGGTGGGCTGCTCTCGGTTTCATGCTTTATTTGTTATATTTCGTGGTAGCCTTGCCTCCTGCAGAAAGAAAATCTTTTGTCGCCTAAAGACCGAAATTAAGCTTATGATATTGTACAGGATGGAATGCCTTCGTTGTCCTCCAAAGAACAGGTCGCCACTTTAAGGGAATTTTATGGTATGCTATTCTCTTGCTTGCTTCTTATTAAAAACATACTCGAAAAATTTGTTTCGACATCTCAGTGCATTTTGCTGGAAATCATTGCAGCTGTAATATACCCTTATCTTAGACAACTCGAAGGTGAATTTAACGAACTGGAAGATAATAATAATAAGAGAAGCCGATGCACAGATGTTTTGGGCAGAAAGAGGATGGAAGACCGGAGGAAGCATTCGGATAAAGATCTAGAGAGAGATGATGAATGTGGGATATGCATGGAAAACTGTACAAAAATGGTGTTGCCCAACTGTGGACATTCCATGTGCATCACCTGCTTCCACGATTGGTATGATCAATTTCCATTTTCACTTGTTCACTTATTAACGAAAACTGAAAATCATTTTACTTACCCGTGAGGTGATGATAGCCTGTGGAAAATATATATATTCTGTAATGTGCCTGAATTGCAGGAATGCAAGATCGAAATCCTGCCCTTTTTGCCGCGGCAGCCTAAAGAGAGTTAGCTCCAGAGATTTGTGGGTTCTCACTAGCATCGGCGATGTTATTGATGCAGTAACCCTTGCGAAGGAGAACCTAAGACGTTTCTATCTTTATATTGAAAATCTACCTGTTGTTGTGCCGGCAACACCTATTGTGGTATATGATTACATGCTCTGACTCACAAAGGAAGAATGAAGTTGCAAGTACACAGATTACTCGTTACCTCAATGTATATATAGTTTAATATAGGGAAGTTCTATGTAAACTGCCATGGCGAGTTGACGAGCTGTCTCATGGTAGCTGTATATAGTCAACTAAAATACCGAATGCCTGTTTTCAGACGATAAGCAGGTAGCTTTGGAGAATCTTGAGTTGCATCTGGCAGCATCCTGCCCGTCTCCAATGACCAAAGCACCTGCAAGTCTCTGGCGGAAGCACCAGATATTCAAAGATTAATATGTATAAGAGGTAAGCTTGGCATTCAACTCAGCTTTTTGAAAACTGAGTGTTGGAATGGAAGGCAATTCATGGTCTCTGCTCATTATTTGATGATCTCTTATAAAATAATGAAAAAGTTCACAAAAGAATTATTTTGTTAAGAATGTAATGTCACGATGGAACTTCATTTTAATGAAATTTCATTATATACGAGTTTTAAGTCTCCGGTGCATTAGAGATGGCGTTAGTAGAATCATAGGTTTTACTTTGAATAAGATTAACCTTGAGGGAGTTGGTTATGTGGCCAGGATTTTTTTTTTTAAAAAGCAACGATCCTGAGCTTGATTGTGCTCCAATCCAGCTCCAGAAGCCGCCACCAGCAGATTTTCCCCGCTGAGCATCGGTAAGTGTAGGACTGAAGATTGCCTATACCGTGAAGATAGCCGAATGCTCGAAGAGGGGATACCCTTGTGCCAGAACAAACGCATATCATACCCTCAACAGGAAGCAAACTACTATGCCTTCATTTTAAATCATGCTGTTTAACTTCACTGGATGGCTTGAATTACCTTGAACTGCATCCTTAAGAGACCTGGTTGAGTAACTTCTGGCACAGCTAAACCAAGTTTGTTTTATGTAGTTGTTGGCATGCAATATTCCTATCACAGTGATCTGCCCAACAAAATTAAAAAGGAAAACTCATGGTGAAAAAAAATCAGTATAGTAAAATTGTGCTAAGGCCACAAAGTTTTAATCATCGTAAATACACGAGTAGAAGTTAATATTAGTGAATTGGTAACAATACATGACAATTAGACAATGAATGCCCATTTATCAAAATGTCATCATTTAGGTTGAGCTTCTGAACCTTTGGGTCCAAAAATCCATCAAACCCATTGCTAACGCATCACGTGGTGCCTACACACAGGTTTAGACATACAACAACAACAATCATGAAATCATATCCCACTAAGTAGAATCAGCTGTATAAATTCTACTCGGATATTCTTATTCTTAATCCTATTTTTTCTCGTGTACCCAGACATTCAATGAAGCATTATCATCTTCACTACACTCATTTTTTGCATATATTGCTTTTAGACAACCTAACATTCTTTATTGTCGACAAGTTTAGACATATGAAAAAAATTTGAGCAAGTCAGCCGAAATTTGAATAGTTAGACACTTTCACATGAACACGATCCCATCTGTATTCGAAAAAGCCATACCATACTATTTTGCGAGAGTAACTCGACCAAATCCTACCGAACTTTTTTTCCAAACATATTCTCAGAGTGGTTGCTCATTGTATTCAGCACCAAAAAAACTAATGAAAATAGCTTGAAAACTTTGAGTTTTAACTATAAGGACAAAATAAAGGGTAAAGTGAATTGTACCAGGATTGAATTTTTAGTGTAAAAATGTGATTTTTCATTAAAGTGAAAAATACCAAGACCTTTTCGTTAAAGTTCTCTTCAGCACCACAACAACAGTTAAAGGGGGGAGTAAAAACAAAATAAAAGATTAAATGGGTAAAGAATAGGGGAAGCATCATAGGAGAGCATAAGGGGCAGAGTCATATTCTTTTAACTTTTAAATAAACAAATAAAAAGGCACTCCACTGATAAGAAGTTGCAAATGGGATTCATCCTCCCAATTTGTTAGTCACCAATCATGCTCACCCTCTCTTTAATTAATTTATTGTAGAATTTCTAAGTGGGCATTTCCTTTTAGAGCCATTGAGTTTTTATCTCTTCAAAGTCCTTTTCTACCTCCCACTCTCCCAAAAGTATGCGTTTAGAGGCTTTATAAATCCTCAAAGTTTTTGAGAGTTGTAGGAGAAAAATATTGACGGTTAATGGCTCACCCACTAGTTAATGAGGTTCAAACATGTATTTAGGCTGGTGAGTCATCACGATAGTGGTTTTCTGAAGGTTAAAATGCTTTTGTGAGTCTTTCCGATCTTTGAAAGAGTGGATTGTCGTAACAAAGCCATCAACTAGTCCAATTTTTAAACTGTAAAAAAAATGTATTTAGGCTCACTCCACATGGCAATTATTTGCATTTTGGATATGTCACATCCCAGCCCCGGCTCCCACCACATCCCGGGCTCGACTCCACTGTAGCATGATATAGTCCGCTTTGGGCCCCGACCACGCTCTCACGGTTTTGTTTCTGGGAACTCACACAAGAACTTTCCAGTGGGTCACCCATCTTGGAAATGCTCTCGCCAGAACTCGCTTAACTTCGGAGTTCCTACGGAACCCAAAGCCAGTGAGCTCCCAAAAGGCCTCGTGCTAGGTAGAGATGGGAATGTACATATAAGGCTTACATGATCCTCACCCCTCGGCAATGTGGGATCTTACAGGATACACAAAGTGGAGGAAGACTTACTTACAATGAGAATATCTCTGACACTGCGACTATATTTTAAACAAAGCATGCACTGTTGTGTAATAAAATTAAAAATCCATGATAATGTATGACTGACTTGGGATATTGTTGTAGTGTCATTCATTATAAGTATAACAATAATGCATGATTAACTTGGAAGACTGCTATAATGATATAAATCGCCGTTTGTTATTTGTATACATGATAAATGCTAAGGAGACTCTCTTAAAAGTATGACTCTCTGTCACCTCATATTTTTGGCACAATATTTTCTAATGTTAGCATGATTATTGACATTAAAGTGTGAGGTGACAGAGAATCTATAAAAAGTCTCACTTTAAGAGAATCTCTTTAGCATTTCTCTTGTATATGTACATGTGTCTCTTTCACAAAGTGTGCGAGGAAATCTTGTTCTTGCTGGTCAAGAAACCTAATTAAGTGATCATTGGCACAACTAAAACCATTCTTTTAAATGGAATTTCAGAAAAGATGCCACTTTGTTTTGCACCAATGTGGAGCAAATGGCACTATCCTAGCTTCAATATTTTTCTGCTTAGGTCATCGTGGCCTCAATTAACGATGATGATTAGCCTCCCTTAATCTTAAATATTTCAAAAAATCTGCAAACTCTGCCAATAATTTTTTCTTAATCAGAATCCTCTTATGTCACTGACTGTATGTCATCCATCTAGAGGCCTCGTTAGCTATTGGAGTGAATAGAAAATAGTTTAAGGACTAATTCTTTTGTTAAAAGTTAGATGTTCCCTCGAGATTAGCATCATGCAAGTCGTTACTCAATTGTGATGTTAAACTTAATAGCAACGTTAGGTAAACTAATATTTTAAATTAAATTTGTAATGATATGATGTGTCATTAATAAGAAATAAACACGTTAATCAACATTTGTAATGATATGATGTGTCATTAATAAGAAATAAACACGTTAATCAACATTTAAGCAATAATCTGATCATCAACAATCAAGACATATAATTTACAAAATTTAATTTAAAAAATTAATCTCACTAGCATTACCCTAAACTTAACGAGGGTTAGAATCTCTCTAATTTCAGGTTTAAAATATGACAAGAAACAAAGACTGAAAACCACGCGCTAATGAGATGGAGACAAAATACACTGTGTAAGCTGATTGCTAATGTCACTATAAAATGTAAACAAACAAGGATGTTTTTGTCCTTCTCTTATTGATTTTTAGTTCTTTAAACACTTATGGGTCCATTAATACTAGTGAAAAATCATAGCAACAGACATTCTTACCTGTAAGGGGGGAGACATAATCAAATTACGTAATGAGTAAGTAAGTCAGATGATACATGAGATAGATAAATGAAGATATATATCGACTATTACACTCAAGTTTTTCTCTAAAAGAAGATACTAAGGTCTTGGCCGCAACTGATTTTCGGATCGCACAATGTGCCATGGTGCCATGCATGCATTTGCCCAAAAAATTTGACTTTACCCTAAGTACTTAAAGATACTTTAATTATATGCATTATTTGTTTAGCAATGACATTAAACAAGTAAATTAAGAAAAGGGGTTTCCCATATGCTTCCATTTCCACTGAACGATTTGGATAATGTGTAATCAGACTGGTCTAAAGAACATGCATGCCTTACAAACATTGGTTGAAAGAATTAAAAGGTCAAATTTTGTGAGTTTGGTACCAATTGGGTTTCAGCTGTCTTAAAGTTCATATGGTCTTGGCATTTTGTCCAACCACTACAAAAAAATGCTTCAGACAACTTTTCATCTTTGTCTCTCAAATGCATTCCACCTGTCCTCAAAACCTTGTTTTGTGTATCCAACATGAGGTGCATTTTAGCTCACCGCCCTTAAGAGGTTGTATTATTCTCCATTCTACTTATAATCGTTTGATTAGTTTAAATTTTGAGATTTATTTTAATTTACTACACAGATCTTGAAATTTAAACTTATCTAATAATAATAAATAGAGTGGTGAATCTCATCATTGATGACCGCGAGCAAAAATATTCCCATCCAACATGCATGAATTCATATTTTTGACCAAAAGCAACAAAAACATTACTCCAAATTGTTCTATCACCTTCCTCTCATGGTCTACAAGAATAAACAATAGCTTTTTTTGCCCAACAAAGAGGGAGGCTTTGCCTTTTATTTTCTTTCTTTCGGCCTTGAATACACAATAAACTATTATTGCAAAAGGATCTTAGGTGAAGAGTAAATAAAGGAGTCCTTACACGTAAGATAAATCTGATAAAATCACAATTTGGTATGCGGTTATAATATTTCGTAACTTTAAATGCATCGAAATATATATTAAATGAAATCAATAAAGGAACAAGATTTGTTTTTTTAAATCTCACTCGTGCATTTCACTATAACGTGATATTGAAGATATTAGTCGTGATTTGTGTTTGAAATTGATGCATTAAGCTACCTATGTGTTCTTTACAAGATGCCCGTGTTCATTCAATCATTCTTTCACAAAGCATATTCACTCCCACCTTTAGATTCTACTTCTTTTATCTGGTTAACCCAAGATTCTACCCCCAATTTTTCATAATTATTAACATGCTTTGATCTTTCCCATATATTCTTTTTGGATACCAATGGTAAGACTTGTTTATCTTTTATTCCTTTTAATCATATAACCCAAGCATATATTTTTAACCATATTAAAAAAATACAACTGTAGAGACTAAGCAAACAATTGACGATTGATGAAGTATACTTGATTGCTTAGTGTCCTTCGATTTTATATGATTAAAACTTTGTCACGTGTTCTATTGAGAAACACTAAATGAAAAATAGATAATATATAAACCACAGTACCTGTTTAATGTTCCTCGAATTCTATTGATAATTAAAAGTTTATAATTAATTTTATTTTGATTAAAAAATTTAGCAACTCATTCTATTTGCACATTTCTCTAAATATATTTTTTGCCAACCCAAGAAAAAAATGATTAGAAGCTAACGTGAACCACAGTGACTGTTAAGCCATCCGGCGCCAAATATTCGTTGGTTCCTCTCTCTCTCTCTCTCTCTCTCTCTCTCTAAAAAGCATTGCCATAAAATCCAAAGAAAGCCATTTTTTAAATTTGGAGACACTCTTAAGCTATATAGTCTCATTCGAGCTGTAAGTCCCCACTCTGCCCCCTTCCCACTTCAATCTTAACTCTTCCTTCTTCCTTTAACTTTTTCCCAATGGAGAGTAGCTTCTCTTCTCCCCGGAACGATTCGTTTCCGGCTGGCCTCCGGGTCCTCGTCGTCGACGACGATCCCACTTGGCTTAAGATCTTAGAAAAGATGCTCAAGAAGTGCTCCTACGAAGGTTAGTTCACGCTATCTCAGTTTTGTCACTGTTCCCCTATTTCAATCATTCTTTAAAGTTCCAATTTTTACACTTTTTTTCCTCTACTTTTTTTTCTGGAAATTCATGGTATTTCCGAATGTTTTTGGCGTTTTTGAGATGGGTTTCTTTAGTTGTGGTTTAGTTTTGGTGGGTTCTTACTTATCAGTGAAATTTCGATCTTATTTGGTAATTTGAACAACTGGGTTTGTTAAAAGCAAGGATTTTTAATCTCCCCAGAAGCAGCAATTTAGTTGTCGAATTTTCGATTTAAGTAAATGGATTAGCAGGATGATCAGGGTTTAGTTGAGATTGAGTATTTGATTGTCTTTACAGGCTGCTAGGCAGGAGGATAATGTGATCACTGTGCAATTGGGAACAAAGTGTACTGTTTCCTTTATTAGTTAGTTTAATTAAATACTAATTATTTATTATTCTATCGAATATAAGTGCGTAAAGTTGATCGATTTCAAACAACTGGAGTGTTCTTTGGTGCCTCTGGTAGTGTACTTGCATAATTATTACTCTGATCTCTGTATGGACAACTTGCTGCAGTTAAATACTGTCCAAATCTTGCTGTCATGCTTGGATTTCTGGGTTTAAGTGCCATGTAGTGCATTTTCCTTTCGATATTTGTTTCAACTACGCTAATCAAAGACCCATTCTAGCAATCTCTTTGTCTTTGTAATACCTTAACATACTTTATGATCCTTGCTCAATCAAATTTTTTGTGGTACTTCGGGCTGGTTTGGTATTGCTGTGCTTTGAAAAAAAGCTGCTGTGAGAATAAGCGGCTGTGATGTGAGAATAAGCGGCTGTGAAATAAAGCCAGTAGAGTGTTTGGTAAACTTTTTTGTGAAAGTACTTTTGGAAAAAAAAGCAGGATGATAGTGTGTCTTTTCATTAAATGAGCACTGTAGCTCCGTGTGCTTTGAAAAAACTGGCTTTTTTTCAAAGCAGCAAATAGCAGCTTCAGTTTTTCCTTTGATTTTCAGCTTATTCTCACAGCAGCTTCCAAAATAAGCCCTTTTTTTTTTCAGTTTACCAAACACAAAAATGACCCTCAGCTTTTTTTTCCAGTGGTTTTTTTTAAAATCACCTCAATCCCAAACGGGGCCTTCATATGTGGAACTGAAGCAGTCTTACAGTCACTGCTCAAGATGCATAGTTTTACAGTAGTTACTTTGATTATGTTGGGGGAGATTCTTATGCATGATTACTTATACATGATCTAAACAAGATAGAGAAGGCTTCCATTCACAATGCAGTCCTTAAAAACACCCACTCGTTTAGAAATTAAATTCCATCTGTGTTACAGGTTTTTTTTTTCCGACTGTTAGACAGGATGCTTTGATCAGTTTGAAAATATAATCAGCTTTTCAATGATAACAGCATCAAATTTTTCATTATTTCTGATGGAATTTTCCTCCCTCTTTTGTCTGTGTTTCAGTGACTACCTGTGGTTTGGCAACAGAAGCTTTATGCTTGCTTCGAGAAAAGAAAAATGGATATGACATTGTAATCAGTGATGTGAACATGCCCGACATGGATGGTTTTAAGCTTCTCGAGCATGTAGGACTTGAGATGGATCTTCCAGTTATTAGTCAGTACTCCGCCATTGACCAAGAAAGCTTTGTCTTCAAAAGCAAAATGTCTGTCACCACTTAATTTCTGACTTATCATATCCATTTTACTTGTGCAGTGATGTCTGTTGATGGAGAAACGAGTAGGGTTATGAAAGGAGTTCAACATGGAGCGTGTGATTATCTTCTTAAGCCGATAAGAATGAAAGAACTACGTAATATATGGCAGCATGTCTTTAGAAAGAAGATACATGAGATAAAAGACATTGAGAGTCATGAAAGCCTCGAAGGTATTCAGCTTATAAGAAGTGGATCAGATCAGTATGATGAGGGATACTTTCTTAGTGCAGATGACCTCACTTCATCGAGAAAAAGAAAGGATGTCGATAACAAATATGATGACAAAGACTTTGCTGATTGTTCATCTACAAAAAAAGCTAGAGTTGTTTGGTCTGTAGATCTTCATCAGAAATTTGTAAAAGCAGTACATCAGATTGGATTTGACAGTAAGTAAATTCCTTGCTTATAAAGCTAGGTTTTTGGATCAGCATCATGAACCATAAGTCTGAATACATTTTGTGCTGCTTTTCAATAATATCGCCACCAACTTTATTATGTTTCTACAGAGCGATGATGTGTAATGTGTGTTTGGCAGAAGTTGGTCCGAAGAAAATACTAGACCTGATGAACGTGCCTTGGTTGACAAGAGAAAATGTTGCTAGCCACTTGCAGGTAAATACCTCACTGTTTAGTTTTCCTGATAACATCTGAAACACTTACCTAGTAGGATTTGTACACCGCAATACTCTCATTATGGTAACTTGGTACCCAGAATACCTTGCGATTGATAATTTCCTTATGCAATAATATGCATATATATGTATATAATATGTAGACACACACACACACACACAAGTATAGTGATAACACACATTGCTCCCATTTCTTTGATCTCAGTCTGATTTTTCAAACTTAAAATACGTATGAAGAAAGTAGTAGATCACTATTTTCTTATCACTAAAGTAATGAAACTCAGTCTCTCTTGTAACAAAAGGGGTAATAAAAGCTAAAGTGTAATACATAGTATGGTTACATTGCATGGTTATTCTCACTGAGAAAGTTCCTGTGCAGAAGTACCGGCTCTACTTGGGTAGGCTGCAAAAAGAAAATGACCTTAAATCTTCTTTTGGTGGGTTGAAGCGTTCCGATTCTCCCTCAAAAGATGCTCAAGGAAGTTTTGGCCTTCAGAACTCGATCAGCATTCAACAAAATGATCTTGCTCATGGCAGCTTCAGTGTTTCTGGCAATAACTTAATTGCTCAGTGTGTGGATCCGAAGAGCCATGAGGGTGATGCAAAGGGGATTGTTTCAGAGCCTGTAGCAGAAATTAAGAAAGGTTCGAACAGAAATATTCCTGATTCTCAAAAGACCAGGAGTTTACAGATCGTGGACTTCAATAATTCTTGTGTAGAACCCAAAAACGGTGCGATTGGAAATGTTCCTGATTCGCAGAAGATCAGGATTTCACCACTGGACTTCAATAATTCTTATGCAGAAACCAAAAAAGGTTTGAATGGCAATATTCCTGATTCTCAGAAGATTAGGACTCCGCAGGTGCGCCCCAGTCATTCATTTACGTCAGTAGAATCTGAAGTAAACTTCACAGAATTTGAATCCACTATCCGGACAAAGTATTCTTGGAACGAAATTCAATTGAAAAAAGAGCAGAAGCCACTTATTCAGTTGAACAGTGGATTCAACAAGCCACCACTGTCCGGTCCACACAACCATTTCCAAGTTGATCGACTACAATCAATTCCTTCCATTAGTCCAAGACCTTCTATCGTGGAGGGAGATGTGACTGGCCCTGCTAAGAGTAAGCCTTCGTACTCTGAGTACATAAATAATCAGGGTAGCCAAGTAAGTCCAACAATAAGCACGGCAGACTCCTTTCCTGATCAAATCAAGAGCTGTGTTGTAAACCATCAAGTTTCTGAGACCATTTCCAGTAGTACATCAAACATGAAGAACCAGGGCTTCAACTTGAGTAGCATTACTGATTTGGAATCCGCCCAAAGGAGCCTAATCGTGGGAAGTGCATCACCTTTTGCTTCTTTGGATGACGACTTTCAAATTTGTTGGTTTCAAGGTGATTGCTATGGCATGAATCTCGGACTTCAAAACATAGAGTTCCCGGAGTACAATGATCCTGCACTTATTTCTGAAGTTCCTGCTCACTTGTACGATGCACTGAGATTTGATTATCCATGTGACGTGACCCATCAGAATATTCTGTCATAGATCAAGGTCTATTCATATCGTGATATGCCCCTGCGCCGGCACTCTTCTTTTGCACAATTCAACGAAGAATGATCTATAGCTTTTTCCGTTTTGGTAAGCCAACATAAGTTGAGTATCCCAACTTAACGAATCTGGATATTATATCTCTGACCGGTTTGGATTTGAATGTCGAAATGTTTACAATATGAGTGATGCAAAACCCTAGCATAATAAGCTTTCTTGTTTAAATTTGATGAGATGTGCACCAGATTTCTTGTATCTTTGCCAGAATGGTTTTCTTGTCGAGTCTGTACCTCCGCATAAAACTCATCGTTCACTCCTCACAAGTTATGAAACGAAAAGCATATGAAACTAACAACTGAGTAAAAAATAAACCCTACAAAAATGAAAGATAAACCCTACAAAATTTCACTTCTAACTGAAAGACCTCAACAGAATGCCCCCCTTCCCCGAAAGGAAACCAATCCATCCTCGCATACTTATTTTCTTACCCCATATTTCTTATTACAGAAAGTAGTTGCAGCCCTTCTGGGCAGTAGCCGGCCTTTTCCCTTTCTTTTCGATCAGAGGGTGTCAACCGGCTGAGTCAATCAATCTCCATGCATATTCCTGCGCTAGACACCCTCAACTCTGGATATTGGGAGGAGAATTCTCGCGAGCATTCTTTGAAAGAGAAGGCACCGTTCGATTTGTGCTCACATTATATTTTTGTGTGACATACTTGGAGCTGTGAGAATTGACCGATGGTCGAGAGCTTGAGTCAAGAACCTTGCTGACAGTAGAGCGTCTCCCAAGTTTTGGTGACCGAGACTGTAGCAGAGGAAGGTGCAAGAAATATATGTCCGCCGTTAATAAAAGAAGATACATTAGAGGGATAAAATGGAAAGGTTATTGCAGTAGAAACTTTCCAAATACTATTGAAAGCCTTCACTGCATGCTCTAATACAAATACAAAGTTTGGAACAAAATGTGTATACCTTGTTCAAGTGATCACTTGGAAATTGTGATGCCGATGACAGATCTTGGTTTAGTTTCGCTTTTAAGGCAGTGCTGTGGTGCAGTTTATTAACATCCCCCACTGCTTTTTCCTGCATAAAATTTTCTTTCTTTTAAGTAAACTTTCAAATGGTTTGATAAAGATAAAAGTACATAAAACGTTACAGAATTCAACTCGCATTGCAAAACTCGAAAAAGAAGAAACCCCTTGCCAATATTTTCATAAGAAACTAACCTTTTTATTAGATTTCAGTTGCACCAGGTCACGTTCAGCCTCCTTGGCATTTTTCTTCTCTTCCAGCCTCTTATAGAACTGGTGCAGCAAAAGAAGAGACTTTTCTCTTAGCAAAGAAACCCTAAAATATTTAATGAACCGTGGCACGATAAGGAGGGAACTAAAAATATAATATCGATTCTTGCCTCTCTACGCTTTTCTGCTCTTTCTTCACTCTTCAATCTAAAAGGACAGGATACAATAGGGGGTCGTGGTTTACTTCCATTTGCAGTAGAAGATTCGCTGCCAAACAGAAAAGCGTAATCATAAGTTTATGAAAATGTTGGTTGTCCCTTTGAAATCTAGTGCACTAACTATTTTAGTCCAATCAGAATACAATCCAGAACATTATACGAATAAAAGTTCGTAGAGTTTGTTAAGTAAATCTAAAATTAACAGAAAAAGAGTTATCAGTTCCTGAAAAAAAAAAAAACAAAGTTAAAAATAGAATAACGCCAATTTTAGGTAAGCACCCCAGAGCATAGATATAAATAAAAGATGAAATGAACATAAAGAAAAATTCATAGGCATGTCAGTAGCAAAGTTCTTACTCTTTTGAGGAGGATATCCACTTCCCATCTGCAATTGGTCCAGCTACCGACTTATTAAGTAATGTTTTCGCCCTGGAAATAATGTAATTGATCACATAAGTTAGAGTACTCAATGCATGTATAAATAGCAGAAATGGTAAGGGCGTATGCAATGGACTGAGACATTTTGCGAGCATGTGAAGTACAATGCAGAATACCTTCTATCTTTGGACCATGGGTCAACTGAAGACTGCATCAATACCCCGCTAACAGATGCCTTAAGTTGGCAAAAGAATATTCTTATTAGAGGTGTCACATTAGACACACAAATCAAATGAATGAAGAAGAAAGAATAACATTAAATGGTAAGAACTCATACCCTAATAGCAGTTCGTCGAGAAGCTGGATTATTCATGGAGATATTAAGTGTAGTTGTAGTACTTCTCGAATTTCTAGTCTTCTCAACAATTGGTGAAGTTCTTTTACTGATTTCACTTTCACCACCATGAGAAGTGAAATGCTTTGACATGTGGAGAGATTTTGCAGTTAAACTCCTCTTGTCAACTAAGTCTGATGAAACCTTCTTACCCATTTGAGTGGCATTTTTCCCGTTTATGGTTTGCACACGAGTTGCTTGTTTGGCAGGAGGCGATGGTACCTTGGGTGGTCTACCTTTGGTGGATAACCTTGGGGAAGAGTTCATCAATCTTTTCTTGCTCACTGAAGCAAGATTCTCCTCACCGGCAGCTTCCTGGAGGATCTGTGAGATGACAACAGTTTGTGCGGTGAGAAAAAGTGATCAAGCAATACAAGAGTCAAAACAGGGCAAAACCCTACAATTACCTTATTTGGCATCTTCTCTTCTAGGGTGGCAACAATCTCATTTTGGTCTTTGCCATTTTCAAACCGGTTCGAGATTTCAGCGTGAATAGAATTTTCCAAATTAACACTTTCTTGAATTACCGCCTCTGCTCTGGCCACCTTGGCGGTATCCAGTTGATTCCCTTCAACAATTTGATTATGGCCATTCACATCAGCTGAGTATACTTCTACCTCAGAATTTGGAACAACATTTTCCTGTTCTTTATCAACAACCATCTGGCTCCCTACATTCACCGAGTCTATGTCCATGGAGGAGCTCTCGTAATTTGCATACATAGTTACTGATGACGCTGTAACATTACAGGCACCAGCATTTGTCAGCTCAAGCAAGGCTGCTGCTTTCTCAGCAGCTTTTTTCTTGTAGTGAGCTTCAAAATAAGCTTTCTTCTGAGCAACAGATCCGGGCTTAGAGAACTTCTCGACTTCTTCTAAGTAGTGATTGTGGGAAAACGCAGACCATTTCTCCCAAGAGAGAGGTTCTGACATATACCTACCAAAGGAGATCGATTCTCCTAGGCAACGAAGGGGGTCACCCTGCAATGAAAAGCACATCACAATTTCCTCATTGAATTCAAAATCCTACTCGTAAAAACGTAACAAGTCCATCCAAACACAAAATTCAATAATCCAACAAGAACTACCGAGATACACATATCATCTAAACCACCATGAAACTCTCTCTCTCTCTCTCTCTCTCTCTCTCTCTAACAAACTGAACGAAACCAAGAACTGAAGGCATCCATTGAAAAACCGCCTAAACTACAACACTACGCGCACTTCCTCCCCTAAAAATAACAAAAGGAATAGCTCTAACCAAACCATCTTAATCCACACCAATCTGACCCAAGTTCTCAATTTTTCCCACGATTTCTCAGCAGCCAAACAAACCGCAATGCGATTAAAACAAACCAATCGGATCAAGACCCATCAAAGATATAGAGAAAACAAGAAAAACCCATGAATCAACTTTAAGAATCAAAGAAATGGAAAATTCTGCGGAAGGACGACTGACCTCTTTGACTTCAGTAGGGTCGGAGAATGATCTCGTCAGGCAGGCCGATTCACCCATTTCAGCGTTCTTGCCTTCTCCTCCAATGGTGTCGTTTAAAATATGGCTAGAAATTTGAATTGTGAATTAGAATTCAAGAAAGGCGCCTTATTGGGTCCATTCCATGTTTGGTTTTACAGTTTATACCCCGATAAAATGTGCAGAAAATGAAAGGTTTATAGAGAGAGAGAGGGGAAGGGAGTGTGGGTTTTTGTTTGCCTTTAAAGTTTGGGTTTTTAGTTTCTTGTTGATTTTCTTGGATGGAGATGTCTCTCCTATTTTCTTTTCTTGGAAATTTTATTTATTATTTTTTCACTAAATTGGATCAACACCTCAACGTTCATATGAAAGCAACAACCTTTATTTGTATCGGAGTGTGATTCGGGACCCATTAATTTGAAAATTAAAGCTTTATTTCCAACGTCTAGTTCCTTTTTTGTTGACCATTTTTATTTATGGCAAACATTTCTCAAATTTTGTTATAGAGAGAATTTAACAATTTAATACAAATGATAGATACCACGGTCTGCAATTTTCTTTAATGTGGTACGTATCATTGAGTAGTATGAAAAACAAATGTTTGAAATAAAAAATAGAAACCAAATTTAACAGCTAAAATATTCATAGCACTTAATGCGATTATATAGCATTGAAGTCACATCCTAAAATTTGAGCCAACTCTTTTTTTTCTTTTTGACAAAATTAAAATAATATTCTTTCATTTGTATTTTTTTTTTATAATTTCGTTTGGGAGTTGGGACCATCTATTCCATGGAGCGCAACACTTTGTCCATCTCTTGCTATAAGCATATATTTATTGTATAAACTTCATAACCTCAAAAGTTTATTTTCTTAATTATTATTAAAATCACCGCTACAAATGTAAATCAAACCATATATCACTTAATCACTTATATGTATCAAACAAATAAAAAATATTGGTACCATGTAAACAATTCATTTATGTGATACATATAAATAACTAAACGATTTTTAGTTTGGTTGGTTTTTCCTAAATATGACTTTAAATGATGATTACGAAAATAAATGATTATGATCATGAAATTTGTCCAATGAAAACACGCTAATCGCAAAGGGCGAACCCTTCCATGCAATGGATGCAAGTATATATTTTCCTTTCATGTATATGTTGGTTTATAATAATCATGTTATCTGTATTACAATTACTAATCACTTCTCAAAATAGAAATGTACCCATTTATATACGTGAGACTTAATAACATGTATTAGAGAAGTGGTCAACAATGTGATCAACAAATGTAGTCCAATTAACAACATTAATCACAAACAAATTATAATCTAATTAGTAATTATGGAGGTGGGTGTTGTGTTCATCTGATGCTTCATCCATAAATAACTAAGCAATTTTTTTGTGGGAAATTTGCAAACACTTTTCTTTTAACAAACTAAAGAAATTTGATTATATCTTTTCAGAATGAGGTTCCGGCGAGTAGTGTAAAATTTCAAAAAATGTAAATGCCGAAATGCCAATTGACCAAAACGACGT